TATGTAGTTTTCACTTTTAACAACTTTTTGCTTGATTGTTACACCATTTGACATTTTTAGAGTCAGAAAACACTGACTAAGAACTTGACACCTGTGTTTTAAACTACATTTTTATTTTATTTCTATCAATAATATTTTTAACTCATTAAATTAATTTAAATTGAATTACCTTGAATTCTGTGCATGCATCTTGCAGCGTAACAGCTTGATGGTTTTTGTGTGACCCAACTCCAATGCACAGACAACACACAGCAATCTGGTCCTCCTGACAGAAGAGCTTCAGCTCCTCCCCATGCTCCTTACACTTAAAGGAAATCAAGTCTTCAGTTACTTCAATGAGAGAGTGTCCTCTTAAAGCCTCTCTCTGCTGGTGCAGGAGGGTGTGAGCAGAACACAGAGAGGCATCGCAGGTGAGGCAGCTCTTCACAGCCACCTCAGTGTTTCCAATGCACTGATCACACATGATAACAGAAGGTGACATTTGAGATGATTCTTCCAGCGAAGGTGCTCTTGCAAAGACATCCTGAACTTTTCTTTGAAGACCTGAGTTGATCTCTAGCTCAAGATCAGGAGGAAGGAGGATCTGACATTCCGGACAGAACAGTGGCCCTTCTCTGGATGTTTTTGGGTCATCCATGTTCCAGACCACTTGGATGCAGGTTTGACAGAAGTTGTGCCCACATGGAAGGCGTACAGGGTCTGAAAAGGTCTCTACACAAACAGGACATTTTAGTTCTTCTTCTCGAGCGTCCATGTCAGCAGACCTTCTACAGTCTGTGTGCGGTTGCTCTGCATGAATATTTCAAAGATGAGGTTCAGATTTCAATGCCATTATGTTATAAGTGTATTCAATTACAATCAACTGTGCATGTCTTCTAATACAATATATAAAATACTTCAAAACAACTATGACATTCAGTGATATTCAAATCCTTCGTTTATTCAAGTCTAACCTCAAATACTGAAGAAAACCAAACCAAAAGGCACACAAATGCATTTAATACGAAATTATGAAAGTGTAAAATTCAATTTTAAAATGTAATTTTTATAATTCCATATTCTCATTCCTTTCATGTTTCTTTATGCATCATTTCACATTTAGACCATTTCATATCAACATTTCTGCAATTGTAATTTCTGTATAGCAATGTACTGCATTAAATAGTCTGTATATAAATGTGCCTTTTTGTGGTTTGGATTACAGTATGCATTACATATCGTACCGTTGTTATGTATTAATGACAATCATCTGTTAACCATTTGAAAGCCCAAATGTATAATTATTATACCTAACATGTATTCTGTTAATCTAAAGCACCTTAAAGAAGCATAAACAATTGTTTGAAACGCACATCACAAAACGTGCTTAACTTCCCTTACTAAAAATAAGTTTATTCAAGTGTGCTATTAGTATACTTCTTTTAAACTAAAAATAGGAAAGTATACTTTTAGTCTACTTTTTATATACTTCTCAGAAATGGGCTTTATGTACTTCTCAGAAATATACTTAAAATGACATTTAAGTATACTTGACTTACACTTGACTTACAAATATATTTGAGCTATACTTGTGTTCCTAGAATCCGTGTTTTCATTGTTATACTGTAGAGGGCGCTAGTACACATCTTCTGTACAGAATTTCCAAACAACACAAGTGAAGAAGAAACCGAAACAACAGATGCTTCCACATGTATTCTAACACGATCATCAGACATAAAACAGCATCAAAACTATGTAACATTATGGAATAAAATGTCGACCCATGAAGAGGTAATAAT